GGCGGGCCTCATTTCTATTCGCGAACAGTGGTTTTCAGAGCGACAGTCGTTCTGGTGCCCCGCATGCATTTCAAAATAACGCCGGAATCCCCCGCACAGCTGAATCAATCAGTCAGTCGGATTTGGAGGCAGGGTTGCACAACAGCAACAACAACGACAACAACAACAACACACTGTGCAGCTCAGCGACCCGTGTGAACCCCTTCCCGGGCGCTGCCTTGCGCCAGCTGAAAGATGCTCACCGGGGCGCCGGAGCTCGTCTGGGCTAGGGACACGCTCGGCAAGTCTCGCCCCCAGACTGCGCAGTTTAATCGCTGCCAGGACAGACTGCACGTCCCGCTGGCCCGCCGCACAGAAAGCGCTGAGCTCATCAGAAACGACGACAACAAGCAGCAGCAGCAGCAGCAACAGGAAAAGGGGGTCAGGCGAGCCGAGCCGGGCGGGGCAGCCCGCCTTACCGTTGCGACCGACGGAACCGTTCTCCGGAAAGCGGGCAGGAGCGCTGGCGAGGCGGGCATCACAGTGCTGCGCTCCGGGCGTGCGGATCCAGCAGACACGGCGGTGCGGCCGGATGTCAACAGAGAGCCCCGGCCTGCCCCCCGCTTCCCACTCCCCTGCGCGGAAGTCCCGCCCCCCCCCGGCCCGGTTCTCGGTGCCGATTGGTGCGCCGGCCGCCAGAGGAGGAGGGGGGGAGTTCCTGCCTGGGCCGACCCGGCCCACGTGACTCGGGCCGAGCGTGGCCCCTCGGCCCTCCTCCCCACTCCGGCCACATGAGAGCCGGGCGCCTGCGGTTGCAATCAATGGACGGAACTGCATGAGCACGTAGGAGGTGGGGCAGGAGGAGAAGGGGTTGAATGACGTTCTCCGCCGCCCACTCGTGCTGCTCTAGCGAGGCGCAAGGGGGGGTGTTTGAGGACCCTGAGCAGGCTGGAAGGCAGTGCATTTGACGCGCCTTGAGCTCACCGGTGCTCGTTTCGCAGTCTGAGAACAAAAGCCAAAAGCGGGGACCCTGCTGTCAGATCCGTTCATTGCAAGCTCGATTTCCCCCACCCCAAAAAACTTTTCTAGAAGACTGTGTTTAAGTTTTTTTTTTTACAAGAGCGTGTATTTTGCACACTTCCACTGGCGTAACGTGCCCTCGCCCGTGTTTAATTTTAAACGGAATTATCGTCGGTTTTTTCGGAGTGCGAAAAGTCCCCCAACTTTCACGCTCATTTCTTAAGCACTTGGCGCCACCTGGCGTTTGTTTGGCAGAACGACAGCCGTGTGTGCACTGCGGTTCGCTCAGAGAGGGGAGGGGAAAAGGTCCTCTCACCGCTCCGGCATCACTGTCTCGTCAGCAAAGGCCGGAACAAACTGAGTTTGAAAATATTAAAGATGTGCAGTTTTATTTCACGTTGGTTGCTGTTTGAAACCAGTAGACCTCAGGGCAAGTATAAACATTTTTGTCTTTTTTTCCCTCATCCCCAGCAAAGCTT